AAGCATTTTTGGTTTCGATCATAGTAGGCTATTTTCAAGAAAAATTTCGATTTTATATCTATATTAGCATTCCTTATCATTTATAATACCTAGATATGTTTTAAAATGCAATTTTAAGCATTTTTGATTTTGATCATAGCAGGCTATTTTCAAAAAAATTTCGATTTTATATCTATATTAGCATTCTATATCATTTATAATACCTAGATATTTTTTAAAATGCAATTTAAAGCATTTTTGGTTTCGATCACAGTAGGCTATTTTCAAAAAACTATCGATTTTATATCTATATTAGCATTCTATATCATTTATAATACCTAGATATGTTTTAAAATGCAATTTTAAGCATTTTTGGTTTTGATCATAGTAGCCTATTTAAAAAAAATATTGATTTAATATCTATATTAGCATTCTTTATCATTAATAATACCTAGATATGTTTTAAAATGCAATTTTAAGCATTTTTGGTTTTGATCATAGCAGGCTATTTTCAAAAAACTATCGATTTTATATCTATATTAGCATTCTTTATCATTTATAATACCTAGACATGTTTTTAAATGCAATTTAAAGCATTTTTGGTTTTGATCATAGTAGGCAATTTTCAAAAAAATATCGATTTTATATCTATATTAGCATTCTATATCATTTATAATACCTAGATATTTTTTAAAATGCAATTTAAAGCATTTTTGGTTTCGATCACAGTAGGCTATTTTCAAAAAACTTTCGATTTTATATCTATATTAGCATTCTATATCATTTATAATACCTAGATATGTTTTAAAATGCAATTTTAAGCATTTTTGGTTTTGATCATAGTAGTCTATTTAAAAAAAATATTGATTTAATATCTATATTAGCATTCTTTATCATTAATAATACCTAGATATGTTTTAAAATGCAATTTTAAGCATTTTTGGTTTTGATCATAGCAGGCTATTTTCAAAAAACTATCGATTTTATATCTATATTAGCATTCTTTATCATTTATAATACCTAGACATGTTTTTAAATGCAATTTAAAGCATTTTTGGTTTTGATCATAGTAGGCTATTTTCAAAAAAATATCAATTTTATATCAATATTAGCATTCTTTATCATTAATAATACCTAGATATGTTTTAAAATGCAATTTAAAGCATTTTTCATAGTAGGCTATTTTCAAAAAAATATCGATTTTATATCTTTATTAGCATTCTTTATCATTTATAATACCTAGATATGCTTTAAAATGCAATTTAAAGCATTTTTGGTTTCGATCGTAGTAGGCTATTTTCAAAAAAATATCGATTTTATATCTATATTAGCATTCTTTATCATTAATAATACCTAGATATGTTTTAAAATTCAATTTAAAGCATTTTTCATAGTAGGCTATTTTCAAAAAAATATCGATTTTATATCTTTATTAGCATTCTTTATCATTTATAATACCTAGATATGCTTTAAAATGCAGTTTAAAGCATTTTTGGTTTTGATCAAAGTAGGTTATTTTCAAAAAAAATATCGATTTTATATCTATATTAGCATTCTTTATCATTAATAATACCTAGATATGTTTTAAAATGCAATTTAAAGCATTTTTCATAGTAGGCTATTTTCAAAAAAATATCAATTTTATATCAATATTAGCATTCTTTATCATTAATAATACCTAGATATGTTTTAAAATGCAATTTGAAGCATTTTTCATAGTAGGCTATTTTCAAAAAAATATCAATTTTATATCAATATTAGCATTCTTTATCATTAATAATACCTAGATATGTTTTAAAATGCAATTTAAAGCATTTTTCATAGTAGGCTTTTTTCAAAAAAATATCGATTTTATATCTATATTAGCCTTCTTTATCATTAATTATACCTAGATATGTTTTAAAATGCAATTTTAATCATTTTTGGTTTTGATCATAGTAGGCTATTTTCAAAAAAATATTGATTTAATATCTATATTCGCATTCTTTATCATTAATAATACCTAGATATGTTTTAAAATGCAATTTTAAGCATTTTTGGTTTTGATCATAGCAGGATTTTTCAAAAAACTATCGATTTTATATCTTTATAGCATTCTTTATCATTTATAATACCTAGACATGTTTTAAAATGCAATTTTAAGCATTTTTGGTTTTGATCACAGTAGGCTATTTTCAAAAAAATATCAATTTTATATCAATATTGGCATTCTTTATCATTAAAAATACCTAGATATGTTTTAAAATGCAATTTTAAGCATTATTCATAGTAGGCTATTTTCAAAAAAATATCGATTTTATATCTATATTAGCATTCTTTATCATTTATAATACCTAGATATGTTTTAAAATCCAATTTTAAGCATTTTTGGTTTTGATCATAGTAGGCTATTTTCAAAAAAATATCGATTTTATATCTATATTAGCATTCTTTATCATTAATTATACCTAGATATGTTTTAAAATGCAATTTTAAGCATTTTTGGTTTTGATCATAGTAAGCTATTTTCAAAAAAATATCAATTTTATATCAATATTGGCATTCTTTATCATTAATAATACCTAGATATGTTTTAAAATGCAATTTTAAGCATTTTTCATAGTAGGTTTTTTTCAAAAAAATATCGATTTTATATCTATATTAGCATTCTTTATCATTTATAATACCTAGATATGCTTTAAAATGCAATTTAAAGCATTTTTGGTTTTGATCAAAGTAGGTTATTTTCAAAAAAAAAATATCGATTTTATATCTATATTAGCATTCTTTATCATTTATAATACCTAGATATGTTTTAAAATGCAATTTTAAGCATTTTTGGTTTCGATCATAGTAGGCTATTTTCAAGAAAAATATCGATTTTATATCTATATTAGCATTCTTTATCATTTAAAATACCTAGATATGTTTTAAAATGCAATTTAAAGCATTTTTCATAGTAGGCTATTTTCAAAAAAATATCGATTTTATATCTATATTAGCATTCTATATCATTTATAATACCTAGATATTTTTTAAAATGCAATTTAAAGCATTTTTGGTTTCGATCACAGTAGGCTATTTTCAAAAAACTATCGATTTTATATCTATATTAGCATTCTATATCATTTATAATACCTAGATATGTTTTAAAATGCAATTTTAAGCATTTTTGGTTTTGATCATAGTAGCCTATTAAAAAAAATATTGATTTAATATCTATATTAGCATTCTTTATCATTAATAATACCTAGATATGTTTTAAAATGCAATTTTAAGCATTTTTGGTTTTGATCATAGCAGGCTATTTTCAAAAAAATATCAATTTTATATCAATATTAGCATTCTTAATCATTAATAATACCTAGATATGTTTTGAAATGCAATTTAAAGCATTTTTCATAGTAGGCTATTTTCAAAAAAATATCGATTTTATATCTATATTAGCATTCTTTATCATTTAAAATACCTAGATATGTTTTAAAATGCAATTTAAAGCATTCTTGGTTTTGATCATACAAAGTTATTCAGTTGCAAACTAGATCTCAACGTGAACAGACGTGTTTACAAATCGCTCCGCAAATTATTCAAAAATCTCAAAAGAAACAAAACAGAGACTACCTGAGAAGCTTTTTGTTTGCAAAAAGTTTCAAAATCTCAGTTTGATTCTCAAAACATCAAAATGGTAGAATCACCAAAAACTACCAACAACGAAGAAAATCTTTCTCAAAATCAGCATGGACTTAATAGTTCTCAACAACAACATTCATCTTCAGTGACAATTCTCAATATTGAGGAAATTTTCAGTGAAAATGTTTCACAAGCAGCCGACATTGAGATGACAAATCTCAAACCAAAAAAACAAATAACAATAAAGAAGTATCTCCATGAAGCAAGTAAAGCAGAAAAACGCCCTCGAGAAGTGATAGTTCCCTACGCTCCTTTAAAAAGAGTAGCAAACGAAAGCAAACCAAAAGATGGGAACAAACCACTGTTCGTACTCCCACCAATGAAGAAAGCTTCGTCTTCTGGAAAACCGTATCTATTTGGTTCACCAGAACAGGAGAAAAAAAGATCGACAACTTCATCGTACTGGGGAGAAAACAGCAAAACATCAGAGCAACAAAAAACAATTTCCGTAAACACGGAAAGCAACAACAACAAATCTCAACAAAAATCAAAACCACCTCCAATTGTCATCAGCACAGGGGGAGCTGGTGAAATCAAGAGGTTGACGAATGAAATAAACAATCAACCTGGAAGTTTCTTAATTGAGACCAAAAAGGGCAAACAAGGAACAAAAACGGTAACAACGGAGAGTTGGGATTACTACGAGAAATTCATCCAACTACTCAAAGACAAAAAGCATCACTTCCACACATACTCCAGCCAAGAACCACTGAAGAAGTACGTACTCTATGGACTCCCAGATATGGAAATCAGTGAGTTGGAGAAGGAACTTCAAACCGTAAAAATCACACCAGTAAAAATTGTCAAAATGACAATGAAACACAAAAGACACGAACAAGATGACGACCAGAATTACCTCGTGTACTTCAAAAAAGATGTAGAACAAGGTGGAAACTTCTTGGAATTCCTCAGAAAAATCAAAATTGTCAGCAGTTTCAAAATTAAATGGGCTGACTACAAAAATAGACAAGCTGGACCATCTCAATGTTCGAAATGTCTGCAGTTTGGTCATGGACAAAACGGTTGTAACAAACCGTCCGTTTGCTTCAGATGCTCTGAGCAACATGACTCGAAAACGTGCCAGTACATATCGAAAGAGACCAACAAGGTTCCACTCGGAAAACTCAAATGTTTCTTCTGCGGTGAAAAACATACAGCAATTTTCACAGGTTGTAAAACCAGACAAGAAATAATTGAAAAGTGGAAATCAAAATCACAGAATGGAAACAACCGAAATCAAAACAAAACAGCAGGCCATTATTCATATGGACAACTTGGACAACGGAGAAACAATCCTCCAATTCTACATCTTTCTGAGCGATTAACCAGAAACGTCCAACATGCACCAAAACCTCAATGGAGAAAGAAGAATGTGGAACGATCAACATCTAGTACACAAAAGCCTGCTCATCAAAAACAAGCTCCAGTCAACCACAAACCAAGGAACACAAATCCTCCTCCAAATCACAAACCCTCAAACCAGGGAAATAAAAATAACTTGAACAACCAACAAAACAATAAAGAAAGAGGAAAACATTGGAAAAAGAATCAAAGAAAAAAGCAAAACGAGCGCATTAATAACAATCAACATCAAAAACCAAAGCAAGATGTTGAGCTTATGGACTCAGAAGACATCAATCTAACAAGTCAGACCTCGAATGAAGTCTTCCCAGAACCTTCATTCAGTGTTGAGGTAGTGAATCGAAACATAACAACTAATCAACAAGCTCAAAGCACTAGCACAAGAGATAAAAACATCTCAGAAATAGAGGAATCAAAGTGCAAGTACCTCATCAGCGAGCTTCTCAAATTAATCGCCAAAAATCCAGAGTTCAATAAAGTTATCGACGAAATACTCCAAGCAATCGGCTCAAACGCCAAAAACACCGCATACAATAATGGATTGTAGACAACAAAGTATCAACGTCCTCTACTGGAATGCTAACGGCCTCACTGACAAAATGTTAGCATTCCTCGACTACCTATGCAAGCATAATGTCGATGTTGCTTGCATCTCAGAAACATTCCTAAAACCAAACTCAAAAATTGACTCGCATCCAGACTACGTAATTCATCGATTGGATCGCGTGGATAGACCAAAGGGTGGTGTTGCAATCATCACATAATACTTACCAATATGTGCGTGTGCGTACATTACACAATTTTCTTATCACAAACACCTTTAGTGTAAATTTATTTAACAATATATTTATGTAATGAATATTTAATTTTCAAATTTATGGTCTAAAACGAGCATTATGTCACTAGTTATTAAGCTTAACCACCCGAGACGGTGAATAAACATCAATCAATCAATCAATCAATCAATCAATCAATCGTCAAAAGAAATCTAAAACATCAGCTTCAACCAAGCTACAAAACAAAACAAATGGAATGCATTGGAATCAAAGTCCTCATCAATGACACGGATAGTTGTCACATCCTCTCAGTCCATTTCACATGAGGAAGCAAAGGAGGGGAAATAGATCAACATCTTAGAGATGACATCATGCAAATAAATCAGGAAATATTCTTCAGGAAATGTCAGGAGAGTTCATGATCTCCTTTCCTGACTCGCCAACGTACTACCCAGAAGATCGAAACAAATCAGTGTCAACAATTGACCTGATGCTCTCGAATTCCAACCTCGAAACAACAGAACTTCAATGCACAGAGGCAATGAGTGATCACTGCGCTGTGTATTTCCAAATCAAAACATCAAAAATCGACAGAACTGAAAATACAGTCTACAGATATGACTACAAAAACGCAAACTGGAAAAAGTTCAAAGCACAAATTTCACGCCGCATTGAAGACAACATTGGAGAAAATTCTTGCAATACAACAGATGAGATCGAGAATCACATTAAGATTCTCTCTGAACTCATCATGGAAGCGAGAAACTCAAGTGTAAAAATGAAAAAGATCCACTTCGAATCAACTAAACTCACACCGGAGATTAAAGATCTAATCAATACAAAAAGGAGTCTTCGTCGAAGATGGCAGAGAAGCAGAGATAATCAACTCAAATCTGAATTGAATTATCTGCAGAGAGTCATCAATGAGAAAATTAAAGAACTCAAAAACAAAAACTGGAATAAGCGTCTCTCAGAGATTCAACCGTCAAACCAAACAGTATGGAGAATAGCAAAATTTTGCAAAAAAGGTTCAAAAACAATGCCTCCATTGACAAATTTGGGTAAAACGTTCATCACCAACAAAGAAAAAGCCAGCGCACTCAGTGAGTATTTCCGAAAAGCTCACGAAAATCCTCTGGAACAAAACGACCCACAACATACACAGGAAGTAAACAACACAGTCAAAGAAGCATTAGAACAAGACAATGATGAGAATCCAGAATTAACAGATGTAAACGAAATCGTGAGCATCATAAGAAATCTGAAAAATCTAAAAGCTCCGGGACTAGATGAAGTCCACAACATACTCATCAAAAATCTTCCTGAAAAAGGTTTCAAATACTTGAAATTCATCATCAATTCATGTCTGAAACTCAATCACTTCCCCAAAGTTTGGAAACACGCAAAAGTGATTCCTATTCCAAAACCTGGAAAACCAGCAAATGAGTTAAGCAGCTACAGGCTAATAAGTCTACTCAGCTCAATAAGCAAAATACTGGAGAGAGTTTTGCTGAACAGAATCAACGATCATCTTGAGGATAACAACATCATGCCAAGCCAGCAGTGCGCCTCCGGACTGGAAGATCAACATCTCACAAGCTCATCAAAGTGATCAAATCAGCAAAAGAAAACTTAAACAACAAAAAGTCAACAGGCATGATCTTCCTGGATGTAGAGAAAGCATTTGACAGAGTCTGGCATAACAAACTCTTGTACAAAATGCTCAAACTGAGATTTCCACTGCCACTTATAAAAACTGTAAGTTCTTTCCTCAGTGAAAGATCTTTCGCAGTTTTTATTAAAGGTCAGTTCTCAGAAATCAAGGTTATCAAATTCGGAGTGCCACAAGGAGCAGTGCTTTCACCAACTCTCTACAACATCTTCACGTATGATGTTGTAAGAGAGACAACCAACAACATCGGTCTTTTCGCAGATGATACAGCACTGTATCATTCTGCAGAGAACTCGGCCGATATTGTGACACATCTACAGCACACTGGAAGAAAAGTTCAACAATACATGAACAAATGGAAGATCAACCTCAACAAACAGAAGACTCAAGCCTTATTCATCACAAACAGGCACTCCAGGCAACTACCAGGAAATAACATCAAATTTCTCAACGAAAACATCAAATGGGAAACAGAAGCTAAATATCTGGGAATGGTGATCGACAAGAGAGTGACATTAAAGCCGCATGTGGAGTATGTGACCAATAGGGCTCACACCGCATTAAGACAGCTTTATCCGCTCATCAGCAGGAACTCACAACTCGACGTACGAAACAAACTTCTCATCTACAAGCTAGCCATCAGACCAATATTCACATATGGTTGTCCAGCGTTTGGAAGCATGGCAAAAACCCATCTTCAAAAACTCCAAGTACTGCAAAACAAATTCTTGAGAATTGTTCTCAATAAAACAAGATATGAAAAGATCACCGATCTTCATACAGAAGCGAAAATACCGTCCATCGAAAACTACGTCGGAAAGTTGCAAGCGAACTTCAACAGTCGTCTTGCATCTCAAAACACCGAATAAATCAAATGAAATACAAAAGAAAGTAAAATCCGTAAATGAAATCAAAAATTAAGAGACAAAAGGCAAATTGAATGCCTGAAACCTTAAAAAACAAAAAGCAACAAAATGTATAGAAACTTTGTACATACTTAAATTTAAATGTAAATAAATAAAAAGTTTAATTAAAAAAAAAAAAAAAAAAAGGTTTTGATCATAGTAGGCTATTTTCAAAAAACTATCAATTTTATATCTATATTAGCATTCTTTATCATTTATAATACCTAGATATGTTTTAAAATGCAATTTTAAGCATTTTTGGTTTTGATCATAGTAGCCTATTTTCAAAAAAATATCAATTTTATATCAATATTAGCATTCTTTATCATTAAAAATACCTAGATATGTTTTAAAATGTAATTTTAAGCATTTTTCATAGTAGGCTATTTTCAAAAAACTATCAATTTTATATCTATATTAGCATTCTTTATCATTTATAATACCTAGATATGCTTTAAAATGCAATTTAAAGCATTTTTGGTTTCGATCATAGTAGGCTATTTTCAAAAAAACTATCGATTTTATATCTATATTAGCATTCTTTATCATTTATAATACCTAGATATGCTTTAAAATGCAGTTTAAAGCATTTTTGGTTTTGATCAAAGTAGGTTATTTTCAAAAAAAATATCGATTTTATATCTATATTAGCATTCTTTATCATTAATAATACCAAGATATGTTTTAAATGCAATTTAAAGCATTTTTCATAGTAGGCTATTTTCAAAAAAATATCAATTTTATATCAATATTAGCATTCTTTGTCATTAATAATACCTAGATATGTTTTAAAATGCAATTTAAAGCATTTTTCATAGTAGGCTATTTTCAAAAAAATATCAATTTTATATCAATATTAGCATTCTTTATCATTAATAATACCTAGATATGTTTTAAAATGCAATTTAAAGCATTTTTCATAGTAGGCTTTTTTCAAAAAAATATCGATTTTATATCTATATTAGCCTTCTTTATCATTTATAATACCTAGATATGTTTTAAAATGCAATTTAAAGCATTTTTCATAGTAGGCTATTTTCAAAAAAATATTGATTTTATATCTATATTAGCATTCTTTATCATTTATAATACCTAGATATGTTTTAAAATCCAATTTTAAGCATTTTTGGTTTTGATAATAGTAGCCTATTTAAAAAAAATATCGATTTTATATTTATATTAGCATTCTTTATCATTTATAATACCTAGATATGTTTTAAAATCCAATTTTAAGCATTTTTGGTTTTGATCATAGTAGGCTATTTTCAAAAAAATATCGATTTTATATCTATATTAGCATTCTTTAACATTAATTATACCTAGATATGTTTTAAAATGCAATTTTAAGCATTTTTGGTTTTGATCATAGTAGGCTATTTTCAAAAAAATATCGATTTTATATCTATATTAGCATTCTTTAACATTAATTATACCTAGATATGTTTTAAAATGCAATTTTAAGCATTTTTGGTTTTGATCATAGTAAGCTATTTTCAAAAAAATATCAATTTTATATCAATATTGGCATTCTTTATCATTAATAATACCTAGATATGTTTTAAAATTCAATTTTAAGCATTTTACTACGTTTTTCTTAACTTGCTTTCTTATCTGTTTGATTGATTGATTGATTGATTGATTGTCCGCAAAATTTCGTACTTTTGTAATCGATTTTTCGACCACTTGTACTGCTCCAAACGAGCTTAAATTTTTAATGCACACGTATTCCCGGTGACAATACAATATTTTAACACTTTGGAAACACAAAAATGCTTAATTATAGTACAATTTATGTAAAACTTTTTTATATGGGAAAAAATCCAATGTCAATGATATAAAATTTTGATTTGTATTAAATATTATACTTTTGATGCTCCAAAGTCATTTATATGATTCATTATAGTTTAATTAATATTACTCATTATTAATTAATTGTAAAATGGAGAAGCAAAAGATTTTCTAGGAGAATAAAAAAATTGACAAGTAATTTATTCATGAATATTCGTAAGTGAAAATTTGAATTTTCAAAAAAACCGTTAAGCACAGGTCCGTTACGAATTAATGCAAAATAACTATTAATATGCGATGTGCATTTAGCACACAAAGTTTGAGCATAAATTTATGCTGTTTTAAATGTATTGCATTATTTTTAACACTTCACCAACTTAATTAAATTGACTTTTCTTTTTATTAACGGTTTGACGTATTTTTGCATAACATATAAATGATATTCATTGAATTTAAATTTGAAAATCCGTTATAAATACGTTACATATAGATGTGAGTTGCATCTTTATGTTAAGAATCCACACGTTATGAAGTAGAAATGGTACAGATAAACACAAAATCTTTACGAGTGATTTTTAATGTACTTTACTAATGAATGCTTTAAAAAAATTAAATTTTATAAAACGAATGAAAAATTTTGAATGTCGTTACTAATTTCCCATTGAAAACTGGTAATTTATAAACAGTTGAACGTAACGGAGTGAAACGAAGTGGAGTTCAAAACACCAGTAACCTATGAACCTACTGTAATCTATAAACAGTTGAACGTAACGAAGTGGAGTTCAACACACCAGTAACCTATGAACCTACTGTAATCTATAAACAGTTGAACGTAACGAAGTGCAACGAAGTGGAGTTCAACACACCTGTAACCTATAAACCCACTGTAATCTTTAAACAGTTGAGCGTAACGAAATGAAACGAAGTGGAGTTCAACACACCTGTAACCTATGAACCTACTGTAATCTATAAACAGTTAAACGAAACGAAGTGCAACGAAGTGGAGTTTAACACACCTGTAACCTATGAACCTACTGTAATCTATAAACAGTTGAACGTAACGAAGTGCAACGAAGTGAAGTTCAACACACCTGTAACCTATGAACCTACTGTAATCTATAAACAGTTGAACGTAACGAAGTGCAACGAAGTGGAGTTCAACACACATGTAACCTATAAACCTACTGTAATCTATAAACAGTTGAACGTAACGAAGTGCAACGAAGTGGAGTTCAACACACCTGTAACCTATGAACCTACTGTAATCTATAAACAGTTGAACGTAACGAAGTGCAACGAAGTGAAGTTCAACACACCTGTAACCTATGAACCTACTGTAATCTATAAACAGTTGAACGTAACGAAGTGCAACGAAGTGGAGTTAAACACACCTGTAACCTATAAACCTACTGTAATCTATAAACAGTTGAACGTAACGAAGTGAAACGAAGTGGAGTTCAACACACCTGTAACCTATGAACCTACTGTAATCTATAAACAGTTAAACGAAACGAAGTGCAACGAAGTGGAGTTTAACACACCTGTAACCTATGAACCTACTGTAATCTATAAACAGTTGAACGTAACGAAGTGCAACGAAGTGAAGTTCAACACACCAGTAACCTATGAACCTACTGTAATCTATAAACAGTTGAACGTAACGAAGTGCAACGAAGTGGAGTTCAACACACCTGTAACCTATAAACCCACTGTAATCTTTAAACAGTTGAACGTAACGAAATGAAACGAAGTGGAGTTCAACACACCTGTAACCTATGAACCTACTGTAATCTATAAACAGTTAAACGAAACGAAGTGCAACGAAGTGGAGTTTAACACACCTGTAACCTATGAACCTACTGTAATCTATAAACAGTTGAACGTAACGAAGTGCAACGAAGTGAAGTTCAACACACCTGTAACCTATGAACCTACTGTAATCTATAAACAGTTGAACGTAACGAAGTGGAGTTCAACACACCTGTAACTTATGAACCTACTGTAATCTATAAACAGTTGAACGTAACGAAGTGCAACGAAGTGGAGTTCAACACACCTGTAACCTATAAACCTACTGTAATCTATAAACAGTTGAACGAAACGAAGTGCAACGAAGTGGAGTTAAACACACCTGTAACCTATAAACCTACTGTAATCTATAAACAGTTGAACGTAACGAAGTGCAACGAAGTGGAGTTCAACACACCTGTAACCTATGAACCTACTGTAATCTATAAACAGTTGAACGTAACGAAGTGAAACGAAGTGGAGTTCAACACACCTGTAACCTATGAACCTACTGTAATCTATAAACAGTTGAACGTAACGAAGTGCAACGAAGTGGAGTTCAACACACCTGTAACCTATAAACCTACTGTAATCTATAAACAGTTGAACGTAACGAAGTGCAACGAAGTGGAGTTCAACACACATAAACCCCCTATAATTTTTATTTCTCTATTGCATTAGAATAAGACTAAAAAGTAGAAAATAAAATACTTTATAAAAAAAACTTTTTAAAAAAACTACGTTTTTCGCGTAGACTAAAAAGTAGAAAATAACTTTTATTCTTGGTTGTAAAGAATTTGGTTTTAAATTTTCAGATTATATTTAATAAATTTTTATATCCTAGTCAATATTGTTCACAAAGTTTCGAATAAGTGCACTTTGATCTTATCGTATAACTCAACAACTTAAAAACGTGGGCGCATTATAAGAGAAGAAATAAGTTTATGCGAAATCAATACTTTATGATAAACTTAAATTAATGCGCCCACGTTTTTAAGTTGTTGAGTTATACGATAAGATCAAAGTGCACTTATTCGAAACTTTGTGAACAATATTGACTAGGATATAAAAATTTATTTAATATAATCTGAAAATTTAAAACCAAATTCTTTACAACCAAGAATAAAAGTTATTTTCTACTTTTTAGTCTACGCGAAAAACGTAGTTTTTTTAAAAAAATTTTTTTATAAAGTATTTCAAAAAAATATCAATTTTATATCAATATTGGCATTCTTTATCATTAATAAAACCTAGATATGTTTTAAAATGCAATTTAAAGCATTTTTCATAGTAGGCTATTTTCAAAAAAATATCGATTTTATATCTATATTAGCATTCTTTATCATTTATAATACCTAGACATGTTTTAAAATGCAATTTTAAGCATTTTTGGTTTTGATCATATTAGGTTATTTTCAAATAAATATCGATTTTATATCTATATTAGCATTCTTTATCATTAATTATACCTAGATATGTTTTAAAATGCAATTTTAAGCATTTTTGGTTTTGATCATAGTAGGCTATTTTCAAAAAAATATCAATTTTATATCAATATTATCATTCTTTATCATTAATAATACCTAGATATGTTTTAAAATGCAATTTTAAGCATTTTTCATAAAAGGCTATTTTCAAAAAAATATCGATTTTATATCTATATTAGCATTCTTTATCATTTATAATACCTAGAAATGCTTTATAATGCAATTTAAAGCATTTTTGGTTTCGATCATAGTAGGCTATTTTCAAAAAAAATATCGATTTTATATCTATATTAGCATTCTTTATCATTTATAATACCTAGATATGCTTTAAAATGCAATTTAAAGCATTTTTGGTTTTGATCAAATTAGGTTATTTTCAAAAAAAAAATATCGATTTTATATCTATATTAGCATTCTTTATCATTTATAATACCAAGATATGTTTTAAAATGCAATTTTAAGCATTTTTGGTTTCGATCATAGTAGGCTATTTTCAAGAAAAATATCGATTTTATATCTATATTAGCATTCTTTATCATTTAAAATACCTAGATATGTTTTAAAATGCAATTTTAAGCATTTTTGGTTTCGATCACAGTAGGCTTTTTTCAAAAAACTATTGATTTAATATCTATATTAGCATTCTTTATCATTAATAATACCTAGATATGTTTTAAAATGCAATTTTAAGCATTTTTGGTTTTGATCATAGCAGGCTATTTTCAAAAAAGTATCGATTTTATATCTATATTAGCATTCTTTATCATTTATAATACCTAGATATGCTTTAAAATCCAATTTTAAGCATTTTTGGTTTTGATCATAGTATCCTATTTAAAAAAAAATATCGATTTTATATCTATATTAGCATTCTATATCATTTATAATACCTAGATATGTTATAAAATCCAATTTTAAGCATTTTTGGTTTTGATCATAGTAGCCTATTTAAAAAAAAATATCGATTTTATATCTATATTAGCATTCTATATCATTTATAATACCTAAATATGTTTTAAAATGCAATTTTAAGCATTTTTGGTTTCGATCATAGTAGGCTATTTTCAAAAAAAATATCGATTTTATATCTATATTAGCATTCTTTATCATTTATAATACCTAGAAATGCTTTATAATGCAATTTAAAGCATTTTTGGTTTCGATCATAGTAGGCTATTTTCAAAAAAAATATCGATTTTATATCTATATTAGCATTCTTTATCATTTATAATACCTAGATATGTTTTAAAATGCAATTTAAAGCATTTTTCATAGTAGGCTATTTTCAAAAAAATATCGATTTTATATCTATATTAGCATTCTATATCATTTATAATACCTAGATATTTTTTAAAATGCAATTTAAAGCATTTTTGGTTTCGATCACAGTAGGCTTTTTTCAAAAAACTATTGATTTAATATCTATATTAGCATTCTTTATCATTAATAATACCTAGATATGTTTTAAAATGCAATTTTAAGCATTTTTGGTTTTGATCATAGCAGGCTATTTTCAAAAAAGTATCGATTTTATATCTATATTAGCATTCTTTATCATTTATAATACCTAGATATTCTTTAAAATCCAATTTTAAGCATTTTTGGTTTTGATCATAGTATCCTATTTAAAAAAAAATATCGATTTTATATCTATATTTGCATTCTATATCATTTATAATACCTAGATATTTTTTAAAATGCAATTTAAAGCATTTTTGGTTTCGATCACAGTAGGCTTTTTTCAAAAAACTATTGATTTAATATCTATATTAGCATTCTTTATCATTAATAATACCTAGATATGTTTTAAAATGCAATTTTAAGCATTTTTGGTTTTGATCATAGCAGGCTATTTTCAAAAAAGTATCGATTTTATATCTATATTAGCATTCTTTATCATTTATAATACCTAGATATGCTTTAAAATGCAATTTAAAGCATTTTTCATAGTAGGCTATTTTCAAAAAAATATCGATTTTATATCTATATTAGCATTCTATATCATTTATAATACCTAGATATTTTTTAAAATGCAATTTAAAGCATTTTTGGTTTCGATCACAGTAGGCTTTTTTCAAAAAACTATTGATTTAATATCTATATTAGCATTCTTTATCATTAATAATACCTAGATATGTTTTAAAATGCAATTTTAAGCATTTTTGGTTTTGATCATAGCAGGCTATTTTCAAAAAAGTATCGATTTTATATCTATATTAGCATTCTTTATCATTTATAATACCTAGATATGTTTTAAAATGCAATTTAAAGCATTTTTCATAGTAGGCTATTTTCAAAAAAATATCGATTTTATATCTATATTAGCATTCTATATCATTTATAATACCTAGATATTTTTTAAAATGCAATTTAAAGCATTTTTGGTTTCGATCACAGTAGGCTTTTTTCAAAAAACTATTGATTTAATATCTATATTAGCATTCTTTATCATTAATAATACCTAGATATGTTTTAAAATGCAATTTTAAGCATTTTTGGTTTTGATCATAGCAGGCTATTTTCAAAAAAGTATCGATTTTATATCTATATTAGCATTCTTTATCATTTATAATACCTAGATATGCTTTAAAATGCAATTTAAAGCATTTTTGGTTTCGATCATAGTAGGCTATTTTCAAAAAAAATATCGATTTTATATCCATATTAGCATTCTTTATCATTTATAATACCTAGATATGCTTTAAAATGCAATTTAAAGCATTTTTGGTTTTGATCAAAGTAGGTTATTTTCAAAAAAAAATATCGATTTTATATCTATATTAGCATTCTTTATCATTTATAATACCTAGATATGTTTTAAAATGCAATTTTAAGCATTTTTGGTTTCGATCATAGTAGGCTATTTTCAAGAAAAATATCGATTTTATATCTATATTAGCATTCTTTATCATTTAAAATACCTAGATATGTTTTAAAATGCAATTTAAAGCATTTTTCATAGTAGGCTATTTTCAAAAAAATATCGATTTTATATCTATATTAGCATTCCTTATCATTTATAATACCTATATATGTTTTAAAATGCAATTTTAAGCATTTTTGGTTTTGATCATAGTAGCCTATTTAAAAAAAATATTGATTTAATATCTATATTAGCATTCTTTATCATTAATAATACCTAGATATGTTTTAAAATGCAATTTTAAGCATTTTTGGTTTTGATCATAGCAGGCTATTTTCAAAAAACTATCGATTTTATATCTATATTAGCATTCTTTATCATTTATAATACCTAGACATGTTTTTAAATGCAATTTAAAGCATTTTTGGTTTTGATCATAGTAGGCAATTTTCAAAAAAATATCGATTTTATATCTATATTAGCATTCTATATCATTTATAATACCTAGATATTTTTTAAAATGCAATTTAAAGCATTTTTGGTTTCGATCACAGTAGGCTATTTTCAAAAAACTATCGATTTTATATCTATATTAGCATTCTATATCATTTATAATACCTAGATATGTTTTTAAATGCAATTTTAAGCATTTTTGGTTTTGATCATAGTAGTCTATTTAAAAAAAATATTGATTTAATATCTATATTAGCATTCTTTATCATTAATAATACCTAGATATGTTTTAAAATGCAATTTTAAGCATTTTTGGTTTTGATCATAGCAGGCTATTTTCAAAAAACTATCGATTTAATATCTATATTAGCATTCTTTATCATTTATAATACCTAGACATGTTTTTAAATGCAATTTAAAGCATTTTTGGTTTTGATCATAGTAGGCTATTTTCAAAAAAATATCAATTTTATATCAATATTAGCATTCTTTATCATTAATAATACCTAGATATGTTTTAAAATGCAATTTAAAGCATTTTTCATAGTAGGCTATTTTCAAAAAAATATCGATTTTATATCTTTATTAGCATTCTTTATCATTTATAATACCTAGATATGCTTTAAAATGCAATTTAAAGCATTTTTGGTTTCGATCGTAGTAGGCTATTTTCAAAAAAATATCGATTTTATATCTATATTAGCATTCTTTATCATTAATAATACCTAGATATGTTTTAAAATTCAATTTAAAGCATTTTTCATAGTAGGCTATTTTCAAAAAAATATCGATTTTATATCTTTATTAGCATTCTTTATCATTTATAATACCTAGATATGCTT